GCTGGGGGGGGGGCACCAAGTGTCCTGGCCCCACTGGTGGACCTCCTGATGGCACCTGGGATTTTTGGCCACTGTGTGACAGAGTGTTGGACTCGATGGGCCATTGGCCTGATCCAGCATTGGCTTCTCTTATGTTCTTATATGAACTCTCGGTCTGGGGCAAGGGATGCTCTGTATCCTTGGTGCTTGGGGGGGGGGGGACAGTGGGAGGGCTTCTAGTGTCCTGGCCCCACTGCTGGACCTCCTGATGGCACCTGGTATTTTTGGCCACAGTGTGTGACACAAGAGTGTTGGCCTTGATGGGCCATTGGCCTGATCCAGCATTGGCTTCTCTTATGTTCTTATATGAACTCTCGGTCTGGGGCAAGGGATGCTCTGTATCCTTGGTGCTTGGGGGGGGGGGCAGTGGGAGGGCTTCTAGTGTCCTGGCCCCACTGCTGGACCTCCTGATGGCACCTGGGATTTTTGGCCACTGTGTGACAGAGTGTTGGACTCGATGGGCCATTGGCCTGATCCAACGTTGGCTTCTCTTATGTTCTTATGTAATGCTGTTGGGAACTGATTTATCCAGGAGTCTGATAGAGACAGAACTTCCTCAACCACTACATATAGGTAGAGAGAGGGTGGGGTGGGGGGTTAGTTGCCAGGAAGAGCTAGTTAAGAGTCGAGATCCATAAGTGACTGGGCGATTATAGCTGAGACTGGATTACGGTAAAATCCTTGAATAACAGTGAATTAGCATACAAATACAAGATTAACAAACAGGTGTGAGAACAAAGTTTTCACTGTAGGTTGGAAAGGGGAGATGTGGCCGTAACAAGCAGCTGCGCAATGTACTGAAGCACCCGTTCTCTGGCAACAAAACGCTCTCGGTTGCTTTCGATTTGGAGCTCTAGAACAGGGATTCCCCTCGTGCCCGTCGAGTGCTTTTGCAAGGTGCATGGGCGGGCCCAGGTGGGACCTTTTGCCCAGGAAGTCCTCTGATGGGCCACCGGAGATGTGATCGGCTGTGCAGGTTTTCAAAAACATCCCTTTGACAGCAGCTGCCATCACAGCACCGCGTGACTGCAGGGAGGCTGTGGGAGCCACATGGTGGCTGGCTCCGCCCACCCTGCTGTCTGTCAGAATTTCAAAACAGCCTGCAGGCTCAAACAGGTTGGGGACCCCAGCTCTGGGAGCTGTTCTCTGCAGTCATGATGAAGACCAGGAAAATATATATATAAAAAAGAAATATAAACACTGGGGTTTTGGCTTTAAAAAAAAAATCTGAAGGCCAAGTTTCACTGAGAGCCAGTTTGGTGTAGTGGTCAAGTGCGCGGACTCTAATCTGGGAGAACCGGGTTTGATTCCCCCACTCCTCCGCATGCACCGGCTGGATGACCTTGGGCAAGCCATAGTTCTGTCAGAGCTGTTCTTGAAA